TATATATTAATATATATATATTAAATTTAAAACTTAAAATATATGTTCATAAATATGTATATATATTATAAACATTAAATATTATTAGTTTTAAATAAAGTTAAAAGTTAATAATTAAAAAATTTTTATAAAAAATACTTCTAAAAATACATAAAATTATTTATTTATATCATGTAAAAATTAAAAAATATTATTATGTTTATAATTAAATTAATATACATCATTTAAAAAAAATACTTACCATGTCCTGACATTTCTTTTGTTACTATATTTGATTTTTTTAGAATAGTTCGATGTTATTTAATATAATTTTATAATAATAATTCACTATAATTAAGTCTTAATAATTAACAAATCTATGTTATATTGTTCCGTCAAATCTATATTGTTTCTATTAACATCAAACAAATATTTTTCAAAAACCGCGGCGATATACATATACAAACATTTCCCTATGTGTATAGTATCGCTTCTACGTCTTTCTGGAATCTTCTTTGACAAATATATAAATTTATATAGCTAATAATCTTTATATTAGTTGCTATACAATTGAAATTTAAATATGTATTTTACACTATTGTTCATGAATCACACACGATTATTTGTTTACATTTAAATACATGTTATTTACATTGTTTATCAAACAATTATAAATTTGGAATAAATAACTGTTTTTGTTTATAATGATATAATTATAGTAATTGAACATATATATATTTTTTATGATAATTCAATTGTATATTTGTATTTCTTTAAATGTACACTTATCGTCACGTAAACAAACATTATAGTGACGCAACCCGCCAAACGACACTAGCTAACGAATATATATGTATATATATGTATACTTATATGCATATATTGAGTATATGAAGTATATTGCATCATAGATGGCTCCTGCCAACACTAAGGCGCCAATGACCGTCGTCTGCTAGATTTGACAATTATGTTTTTAATAAGTTAAAAATATAATTTTATTATGTGTTGATCTTAAAAATATTTTAAAATATCAATAATTCTTTTTTTATAATGATTTATATTAAATATTAATTAGAAAAATATTATTTTATATGAAATATCGAAATGTAATGATGTTGTCGTCTGCTTGATTGACAGCTGCGCAGGTTTAGAAATCAGCGCCGAAGTAGTGAAGGATACGGGTATTTAGATTTGTGATAGTTTTATCTAAAATAGAAACAAATTATTGTTAAAATGATAATTATAACAAAGTTTGTATTAAATTTTTGAAAATATAACATACATGTTATATATTTTATTTTATTTTTCACTTAAATATGGAGGCGGAAGTTAGAGTTAATCATCGTTTTTCAAGTATTTTCAATCACAATGCAGTTTGTTATGAATTTTAGTGTGAATGACGTGTCAATGCATAGTCAATGTGAGATTCAAAGTCAAAGTGAATTTCGTAATAATATAGAGAAGTATATATAAGTGGAATCTAATTAACCTGCAATCTTTAACGAGCACAATGCTTTTTTATCAAATTTAGTTTACAGCACAATATTGAAAAATTTAACTGTAGTTCAAATAATTGAAAGAATATATGTATGTATAAAGAAAATGAATGTTATATCTATAAAAAAAAATCAAGAAGTGGAAACTAAATTGTCATTCTAAATATCATATTTACAAATATGCATTATTTATATTTACTTTATTTATTGTTCATAAATAATTCACTATATGAGAGTCTTAAATTTATTAATATTTGAAATGCAATTATTTATTAAAATAACATTATATATATTTCTTTAAATATGAGAAGTATAATGGTAATATATTAATATGATAAAAGTTTATTATTATAGATTAGTTAACAAGATAAATCTTGTTTAAGATTCTAGTCTATATTGTATAATAAAATATATATTATTTTTAACATAATTGCACATTATTCACATACGTAGAAGTACTTATCTATAATTAATAATCATAAATATATTAAAAGAATTCTTTTTTATATGTTAAATTATAAAAAAAATAATTATAATTATATGAAAAAATTACAAATGCTTTTGTTTTGATTTATTTAATAGTGAAATATATAGTAGATCAATTATATTAAACTATTACTATTAATTTTTTTAAATAATATATTTGGAATATGCAATAATAAAGTACTTTATTCATTAATAGTGAACTAATTATATGATATTTAAAATACAAAACTGCAAATACAATGGAGCAATATGAAGAAACTGATATTTCTAGCATAACAAATGCTAAAGCTGATATTTCTCCTAAATCAAAGCAAAAGAAAAAGTCTCTTTGTCGTATGCTTATGAATAAAAAAACCAAAGTTGGATGTTTAGAAACATCTTATAAAAATGGTAATTCAAATAAGAATTCTAAACTGGAAAATTCACAACATGGATCTCACACCACAAAACTTTCATTATGCTGTGCAATGACTGAACGCAGTAGAACACCGCCGCAAAGTTTAACTGTTAGTAGATTATCTCCCACTACTTTGAGTCATACTTCTGTTAAATCTGAAGTAGCTTCTGCTAATGGAAATTGTCAAACAAATGCAATGATAGAAAAAGAAGAAATTTACATAGCAAATTTACATAATACATATAATGTCCAAGAAAATATAGAAAGAAATAATATTTTTATGGATAAAAATCGACAAAATACATTTATTGAAGGTAAGAATCATATTTTATTAAAAATTTGTATTGTATTAAAAATAATTTATTTGTCTGAGAAATTAAAAACTTAAGATTAATTATTTAATTAATTGATGAATGATTTGTTTTAAATAATTTTTTTATTTATTAAAGAATTATTAAAATATATAATATTAAATATTATTTTTTATTTATGATCATTGATAAATTTTCTATTTTTGTCATTTCTGTTTATCTATTTTTGTCTTTCAATTTAACTGATAATAACCTTGCGTATCCCCACCTTATCTTCTTCTACATGCAAAATTGCTTTCATTATATTATATTTAAGTAAGGAAATGTGACTTTTACTGATAGTCAGTTAACACTTAATCTTTGATATAGAAACATCAATATTTCAAAAATTGTTTTAAATATTATATTTTATTCTATTTATTCAATTATATATTAAACATATCTAATCAAAGTAATAAAGTAAAAAAATCTCTTTTTTTAATAAATTATACAAAGTATTTAAACAAAATAAAAGTGGCAAATTAAAAAGCAAAGCAAAATTTAAAATTTGAAGAAGCTTTTGAAAAATGTATTAAAAATTTAAATATTAAATAATATCATGAAAAAATAAATATATTTAAATTTCAATATGATATTAATTTTGATAACACAAAAAATATTAATTTATATAACAATTTTCAAAACAATAAAATTATCTCTCATGAAAATAAATCAAATATAATTCAAATTTTTAAATAAAATGATCATTTATCCTAATAATTCACATGTAAGCATATTTAAAGACATAGGAAAGCATTTAGTAAAAATAATATTCAAAGAAAAGATGAAAAAAATTAAATGTAGTTCAGACAGATATTTAAATAAAAAAATTGCATTTTTAAAGATTATAACATAAAAAGTATACATTTATTAAATAAAAGATTCTTTAAAATATTTTGATTCTTTTTCAAAAATTGCAAATTCTGATAATATAAATTGTTTACAAAAAACACATAAATTTTTTATTAAAAAGAAAGAACATAATGTCACAAGAGAATAGTGAAGATAGTGATTTCTCTGCAGAGTCAACAGAAGATTCATTTGAGGAATCATCAGAAGATGAAAACGAACTTTTTATTGATAATGAAAAAAATGAAATAAAATTAAAGGATGAGTATTTTACGAAAGGAAAATATATCACTTATTTCTTCTTGGAAATGGAACGGCAGTTCTACAATCCTTTTGACGTTTACAATATGGTTCAATACCATGACTCTAATACTGAAAAACCAGGAAAAGAAGGTATAATAAAATAAATGAAATATATGCGGTTTAAAATTTGCAATTTAAAATTTGATTCTTATGCTTCTTCAAATATTTTTATTTTATTATTATATAAGTATTACATTATTTCTTCGATTTGGCCACTTGTAAAGTATAATAATATTTAAATAGAATTATTACTTATAGAAAAATATTATTAAAAATATTATATAGATAATTTGAATAATTCATATTGAAAAATCTTTACAGTGACTATTTTGAATTTTTCATATATATATAACATATATGTAATAACATATATGTATATATATATAATATATAATATATTATAATATATTATAATACATATATATATATAAATGTTTATTTATTTATATATAAATAAGTATTCTTATTTTAGAAATAATTCAATTTTATTTATATGTGTAATTATATATCTATTGAGAAAAGAATAAAATATGAACTTCAAATGAATCATAGGCATTTCTGCTAATTTTCTAATAACTCTGTCAGTATCAAGAATAACTAGCAATTGAATCAATTTAGTTTCATTACAAATACATGTTATAATATCATTTAACATTCTATTTTGTACATGATATTATTATATTATTTTAAATTACATATGTGTTATTTAAATTTTATATCCTTGTATTTTTATATTATTTTACATAATTTTATATTATTTTGTTGTTTTAGGTGAAAATTCATCTTCTGGATCTATTTCTCCAAATGTTCCTGCATATTTAAGACAAAGATTAATTCATAGACGATCTGTGGATAATTTAGTAGGAAATTCACCAACAAATTCTATGAGACATTCAAGTCCAGAATCTATAAAAAGTGCACCTGTTCAACTTAAACCACGTTCCACATCTCATGATGCTTTGTCTAAAAAAAAAGAACGTCATCAATCTCAAACAACTGGAGCATCTATGGATAGTTTAGCAAAACAAGCATTATTAGCTGCTCAAGTTCTTAATTTGATTCCTACACAAAAAGCACGAGAAAGGTACAAACTTTCATAAAATTCTTATAATATATATAAAAATATGTGTTTATCTTTATAAATATTACTATTTCTTTATTACAGAAATTTTCTTCATGGAAGAATTGCTGCAAATTCATTGCTTGGGCCAGTAGAACTTGAAAAAGTATTACCGAATCGCGAATTAAAAATTTTTATTGGAACATGGAATATGAATGGACAAAATCCACCAAAAGAATTAAATGATTTTATGTTACCTTCAGATATAGAAACTGTTCCAGATTTATTAGCAATTGGAACACAAGAATCTTGTTCTGAGCGAAGCGAGTGGGAAGCAGCTTTACAAGAAACTCTTGGTCCTTCTCATGTATTACTTTGTAGTACTGGTTTAGGAACATTGCATCTTGCACTTTTTTTAAGAAGAGATTTAATTTGGTTCTGTTCTATTCCTGAAGATGCTAGTTTCTCAACTAGGACAGGAACTGCTTTTAGAACAAAAGGAGCAGTAGCTATAGCTTTAATGTTATTTGGTACAAGTTTTCTGTTTGTTACTGCACATTTAACTGCACATCAAGATAAAGTTAAAGAAAGAGTAAATGATATTAAAAGAATAGTTAGAAATCTTGATCTCCCTAAAGATTTACCTACAAGACATAAAAGCAAAGGTATAGATATATAATTATTTATTATTATTATTATGTTATAAAAATAAATGAATATTATGTTTTCAGATGTAACTCAAAATTTTGATTGCATATTTTGGTGTGGTGATTTAAATTTTCGATTAGCACAACCACGAGAAGAAGTTATTCAATGGGTTACAGATACATGTTTTCCACAACAATTACCTGTAAATTTACACAAAGATCAATTACAAACAATTCTTAATGAAGGAGCAGTTTTACGTGGTTTTGAAGAAGCTCCAATTACATTTCCTCCTACATATAAATATGATCCTGGAACACAAAATTTTGATTCAAGCAGTAAACAACGCACACCTGCATACACTGATAGAATTCTTTTTAAAGGAAAAGGACATATAAGAGGATATATTAGAAGAGTTAGTCATGAAAGCTCTAGTTCATATAAAGATGGAATTATAGAATGTTTGGTTTATGATTCTGTACCAAGTATTTGTACTTCAGATCATAAACCTGTATGGGGAGTTTTTAAAACAACTATAAGACCTGGTATTGATACGTATGTATTTATTATTCATATAATTCAATTTATTTCTAAATTATATTATATTTTTTTATTAATGTTTATTATATTTATAGTATACCTCTTGGTGGAGGTTTGTTTAATCGTGAAATATATTTAGAAGGTATAAAAAGACGAGCAGCTGCTATGGATGAATCTCATGGAACTTCAAAAGTATGTTTAATTCAATAAATATAGATAATATAAATTTCATTAAAGAAGAAATTTCATATTGATAAAATTTATATAATGAGCATTATATTTGTTTCTAATTTTTTAATGCCAAAATGTGAGATCATAGATATTGCAATTCTTACAATTAATACTTCTTTTTTTGTATGCTCGATATATGACAAATTTATAACTGTTCATAACTTTTTTATATGAATAACAAATACTGTTTTTTAGTGCAGTTTATAGAATATGCTGATATTGTACAATGATATTGTACTTTGTAATGTTTAAACAAAATATATTATATAATATATTAGAATTTCCATTCTTATAATTAGCAGTAAAAGTGCTAGTTATGATGTTATATATACCATTTTTAAAAAATATATATAAAGAAGAAGAATAAAATAAAAACAGAGATATTCCATTATTTTAAAATTTAAAATATTTATAAAAGACATTATTTTTTTTACAGATTCTCTATATGTAAATTTTAATGTTATTTTATCATTATGTTTATATATGTCATTTTATTTAAAAAATATAAAAATATTCAAAAATTTAAGAAACATAAATACTGTAATAATTATTTTTATTTAAAAAAATTATATTTTTGAATATTTCTTCTAAATAAATAATTTACATAAAAAATATAAAATTTAAAATGTATTAAATAAAAAAAATATATTAATAACATTAATATTAAAAAAATTCTTAAAAATGATGCATTTTTTATTTTTGTACTTATGTCAATATCATGAAACTATTTA